GTGGTGGAGCCGTACAATGCCGTCCTGAGCTTTCACCAGCTGGTGGAGAACTCCGACGAGTCCTTCCTGCTGGCCACTTGGCAATCTGAAGTTGACTGTGAGAGACTTGTTTGGGGTGGCTGATGCTGCGTACTTGTGAAGGGGGAAAGTCACTCACAGTAGTCAGTGCTCTGCAAGTTCATCGACTTTTGAGCTAAGGACAACGAAGCGCTCTACGACATCTGCTTCCGAACGTTGTGCCCCGGCATGAACGTGAAGCAGCTCAAGTCCTACGGCCTCTGCACTGTACCAAGCAGCTACTTGTAGGAGACAGCGAGGAACACACGATGGATGACAGTCTAGTTACTCAGGAGGAAAAGCAAGCAGAGCTTTGCAGAGGGAGAACAAATGTCACACCACAGGGGCGAACCATGCGATAGGGCCTAACGGGTGTTTGCGAGGCAGGCAAACAGTGCGGGCAGAGAGACGTAAGGGGAGAGAGTGCGATAGTTACTCTATTTCCAAAAAAAAGGATATTTTGTCTATCTACTTATCTATATATCTATCTATACAGTTGCACTATATCGCTGTGACTTGCTTGGGTTGTCTAGGGGTTTCTGTAGCCCCCAATCCCTAAACTTGAGAGGAAGACAAGGCAACAACACTGATACCAACGGCAACGAAACACACCACACATCGTCAAAGTCATAGTCTTTGCCATAATATGGTGATATGGTCAGAAATCCGGCTGTAGCCAGTATACACTCGCAGGTGGGAAGTGGGCTTGATCAGCAGACAAGAAATTGTCCCACCACCTGCAAAATCAAGCGCACATTCGGGATGCATGTAGTCACGCAAACGCCATGCAAATAGGAGACGCGGGGTTGCAGGGCTGGCACCTTATTCCGGTTGCTTTGGGTTTATTCGCTGCCGTTTTTGCTGCTAGGAGGAAGATTCAGCAGTCACGGCGGGCTGAAAGCTTCTTTGACGCATCCTCGCTTGGAAATGTGTGGTTGCGGCTGAGCCTATTCGTGACTGCATGGCTCATATACCGGGCTCATGAATTGTTGCTCAGTGTCTTTACTGCCAGGAAAGAAGCACTACTATGCATCTCATGCGGGGCTTCCCTAGGCACTCAGTATCTGAAAGGCAAGCACGGCCTTAGCTTGGAAGATCTCGAAGACCAGGTTCCCGAAGCCTCTTGCAGCGCTTTTTTTCGGAACGGCAGGGCCTTTTGTCTGGTTACCCCCAGCAGACGGAGACGGAGGGGACTGGACTATGGCCTCACTTGAGGGTTGCGTTTCCCGCTTCTCGAGGAGTTCATGGCTTTCCCTGCAGTGGTTGTTGAAGACTTTCGTTGCTGCCGACGGCAGTGCCCAGCATCCCGACCCTGACACTCGGATCGCTGCTTGTTCTGTGACCTGCACGGCACTGGAGATAGCAGTTTTGCGCGGCAGCTGAGAATTTTTGAGTCGAAAAGAGTGCAGCCGACTGTGCAGTTCAAGCTTTCGCCGTGGTTTCGTTGTGGAGGGTTTCCTGGACAGGAACAAGGGTGCTGGTGCTCCAGGTTACAAGTCTGAGATCTTTGATGTGTTTTATGGCTGCTTGCAGACGGCTTGCTCTTCGAGAATGACTTCTTGTCCTTCTTTATCTTTGCCGTCCCAAGTCACGCGATCTTTACAGGTCCGTGCTGAAACAGTTTCACGACACCGCAGTCTTTGTCATCCACACCAGACTTGCCGGCGCCGGGCTGCCGCACCCAATTGCTGTGAACAGGTGCGCGCTCCCGGGAGGCAAAGGACCACAAGGTCATGCGCAGCTTGTTGATTTGGAGTACCCCAGCTACGATGGTATGGAATGGAGGTATCCACGTACTTGATGATCTGATGTGCCCCGAATCTGCGACCTCGCTGCGGGTGTTGAGCTTTTGCCCGAGCGCATGGAGGTTAGGGAGCAGCTTCTTCTCGGCTTCGTGCTGCCAAAGCTGCTGTGGTCTGCCCCCTTGGTCCCTGAGATCTCGGATAAGGTTGTGTCGGCCTTCATTAGGACCATTCGGGGTCATGTCACTTGGTGGTGCAAGGGCCGAGAGTGTGTGCCGATCAAGTCACTTTACATCCCCGATTTGCGGCTGCCATCCGCTGCCTTGTCCCCGCCGCTGCCCACGTCGGGCAAATGCCCAGGGTCCACCTCTACGCGGTGGGCAGGAGGAACGCATGTTTTAAGCATTTATGTTGCTTTTATGTGCGGCCAACAGACCCAATCGACGAAGTATAGACGACGACATAGCAGACGATTATGAAAGTGGAACTTCGTCATCACAGACTCGCTGGACTCACGCAGGGGGGGTCCGGTAGAGCAGCGCCTCATGGTGCTACTCGTGTCCCTGTAGCAGACGCTGTTCCTAGAACACTCGTTGGGCCAACCGTTATACCCACTCAGTTTTCACGGTATGGTCGGTGGCATGGCAGAATTCGACACCCACACCGTGCTAGTCGATTGGTTAAACCAAACTTCCGGTGCGTGGCCTTGAATACGCAGGGCCTTAATTGGCGTCTTATGTCGCACGCACATAAACTTCGATGTCTGATACAGCAGGCACGCAGTCTGGGCTGGGCATTAACGATGCTTACTGATTTGCATTTTTGTGAAGATGACTGGCAGAGCAACGGTCATGACACACCTCAGGTGGTTTATCTGGAGGAGTACGCTCTGGTTCAGTGGTTTCGTGTTGGATTTTTACTTGATTGCCCTACCCGACAGCGTTGGGAGGACTCTGGTCGTCTCTTTCACACAGACGGTCAAAGGTCGCTTTTCCTGGGCTTTCAGATGCAATCTCACACGTACCACTTTGGGGCAGTCTACGCTCCGGTCCAGTCAGAAAAAGCACTCCGGCGACAGTTTTTCGCAGAGCTTGGCACGATCCTACTCCGTTTACCTCGCCAACATCTCTTGATAGGTGGCGATTGGAACGGACATTTGGGGAGGGATTCGGTACCCTACGGTTTACACACCCCAACGACGGCAGGTGGTCATGACGTGCTACTGTTTCTTGAGCTTCATGCTTATCTGACCAACATCGACCACAACTTCTTGATCCGAAACCGCGGTACATGGCGCGATTCTGTTGCTCATCGCTTTTACGAGCTCGATTATTTTATTGGTTCACTCGACATGCGTCGTATGGCCCAACATTTTCGAGTCCAACCGTATCCTTTCTCTGATCACCATGCCAAGATGGGCTGTTTTCATTTGGTTACAAGCAAGGGCAAAGTTTGGCGGGGCGAGCGTTTTCTTACGGCACAAAGATACTCGGCGGAACCAGTTCTAGATCTAGAAGCCATTCGAGGTCCGTCAGCAGAGGCGCAAAATCTGCGCGCACAACTTCGCAGCAACATTGGCAGGACATTACAACCCTTACTGCCTCACATCCATTTCCACCCGTCTGGCGACGAGATCAGTGTACACATCTTTGTCGATGGGTCTTCGTTTACCGAGGGCCATGGCAATCAGCAAGCTGTAGCAGGGTGGGGTGTCTGGATTCCTGAAGCCAATCTAACCTTTCACGGCCCTATTACTACGAATGAGAAGGCCGAGCTTTTCCTGGGGGCAGACAAACACACAAATAACACTGGCGAGCTTTCCGCAATGGTGGTAGCACTCGTTTGGCTTTGGCATTCTGGTTTTACGGGCCATGCAGTGATCGCATATGATAGCACATACGCTGCAAACTGCACTCAAGGGCATTGGCTTCCCACTTCCAATGTCTCGTTGGCGGTCTCAGCACAACAATGGTTACAAAGATGTCAAAGCCGCCTTGCCGTCAGCTTTCGTCATGTTCGTTCCCACACTGGCCAAGAAGATTGGTGGTCGGTCAACAACGAGGTCGTGGATGTGGCGGCCAAACAAGGTGCCCAAGGTCAGGTACAGTTGTTTGCGGACGCTATCCAGCTTCTACGGGCGCCACCTCCACTACCCCAAATACCGACCAAGTCCTGGCCCGAGCTTGCGTCACTAGGACACGATGCTTTACAGGCCTGCCTGCCCAAGCGCAAACCTCACCAGCGGGCAGTCCCCTACACCGCCTCGGCTCTAGAAGAATTGGATCGCCGCAAAGGACGACTACTTGAACTTAAAACGGCTTTCCATCAGGCTCGCGGGACTCCGTCGGAACCACAGCTTTATGAACAAGTCAAGGTGTTCAAGCGCTCTCTACAACAATGGGCGAGACGCCAGCGTAGTCAATGGATTGCACACCTCTGCAAAAAGCTCGATGCCGCGATGAGACTACACGACATGCGACAGTTCTACCATCACCTACGTGCCTTGGGAGTCCACATCAAAGGCAAAAGGTTTGAAGGTTCGCAGCCTTTCGGGCTTGAGACGGCGACGACCTTTGTTGAGAAGGTCGGCAACGAGCCCTTCACACTACCGCACAACATCGACGACTTGCTGCCCCCACAAGCTGAGACGGCTTGGGACCTGGACCACACGCCATCCGAGAGCGAAATTCTTGGATCCCTGGGCAAGATGCGCGACACCAAAGGCGGTACGGACGGTATCACTGTTGGGTGCATCAGAGCTTTTGGGCCCTGGTTCCAACGCCTGGTCGCTAAGACTATTCAGCAACTCTGGCAGACTCAGCCCGAAACTTGGGATCAGATTATTCATGAAGTTGTTGGGGTTTTGCTTTTCAAGAAAGGTGCAAGGAGTGATCCGGCCAATTATCGTTGCATTCAGCTGATCAACGTCATCAGCCGCCTCCTTGCCAAAGTTGTTGACGGCCGCCTCCAGCAATTCGCAGAATCCCGCGGTCTACTCCCCAACGAACAGTATGGCTTCCGCAAGAACCGCTCAACAGTTGGGCCGATCATGCTGGTGCGGCTCATAGCTGAGATTTGTCGGGCACATCCTAACGATGATCACCATCCACTGCTGTTACTCATTGACATTCGTAAGGCATACCCACGGGTCCCAAGATCGTTTGCTTGGCAAGTATTTGATTGCCTAGGTGTCCCTCCTACGCTGTCACGGGTCTTACATGGCTTACATGACAAAGCAGTTTACAAGATTCGCACAGGCGCCGGTACTGGCAGAGACTACACCAATCAACGTGGTTTTAGAGAAGGCTGCCCCAGTAGCCCTATTTGCTACAATCTTTACCACACTTGGCCTATGCGACAGTTTGTGCAAATAAGGCAAAACAAACGTGGCACCGCAGCTCTTCGAGGTGGTTTTGACTTTACAACCCGTTTAGACAAACCGCGACGTCCACGCCAAATCACCGAAGAACGACTCACCATTACGCTGGACGACATTTTGTTTGCAGACGACACATCCATATTCACCACCGTCGAAAAGTGCCAAGAGGATGAGAAGCACTTGCAACAAGTTCTGGGTACGTGGGGTGAGGACATACATCCAGACAAAACGGAGCGGTTACCACTGGGAATGTCAGTAGCGGAAGCGGCCCAACTTGCAAGGATCCACCCAGACAAACTACAATCTCAAGCCAGATTTCTTGGAGCCTGGGTCACGCATGATGCTTCACAAGCAGCTGACACCGACAAAAGACTTCAAAGAGCCAGTGTTGACCGAGGAAGCTGACGACGCCAACATACGGTGATTTGAACCACTTGGTCTCTGCGGCCATGAGCGGCGTCACATGCTGCCTGCGCTTCCCGGGACAGTGGCTGGACTCTCTAATGCTCCCACGGTACTTTCTAGGGATTCTTTCGTGAACGTTTGTTATGCTGCTGGCCTGTCACCCTGAATTCCGTTTGGCAGTGAGGCTGAATTGTGACCTGCGCAAGATTGCTGTGAACCTGGTGCCTTTCCCACGTGGCCTTGAATGCAAAGTTATTGGAACCACACTTTGCTGAAGCCCCGCGTTGCTTAAGCTCTCCCTGACTTCTGCTCCCAACGCCTTCACTTCCAACCCCACCCTGATGTGTCCACCCAAGGTTCGAGGCAATTCGACATGGCTTAACTTGTAAGCCGTTGTTTCTTGCGACGCCTCGGCTACAGGCTTGCACTTCTTCATGACGGGCTTCGCGCCGCTGACCTCCCGCGGGTCGCAGCAGTACCGAGCCTTGACCGTCCCCGACTCGGAGGGCGGTCCTTGATTTCCGATGTGGATGTATCCCGAGCTTCGTAGCGGCAGGTGCCCGAGCTGACCCAGCAAATGTTCGACGCCAAGAACATGCTTCTCGGCTCAAAAAAACGAACAGCTGCAAGTCCTTGAGCCCATGATTTGTCGAACGTCCGAGGATGTGCGCTGCAGACCCCCGCCACGGCCGCTACCTCACCGCGGCAGCCCTCTTCCGCGGCCGCATGTCTACGAAGGAGGCCCGCAAGATAGCTCGGCTTTGAAACAGGTGCACTTGCACGGAATTCCGTCCATGTTTCGGCTGCGTCGGTTTTGATGTGTCCAGCATTATCCAGCATTCAAGTTGGTTGAGGATTGCACCGATTGCATAGACTGTCGCAGACTCACGAAGTATTCGGTCCCGAAACCTCACATCCGGCAGGTGGATGAGCAAATGCTCAACGTCCAAAACAAGAACTCCTCCTACTTCGTGGAATCTTGGCCGTCCCAGGTTCCCAGACATGGATGGCATTTCGGCATCGCATGCATGTGACGTAGCTGGGATTTTGGATGTGCGGAACTTGTCGTGGCTTCCAACAACTATACACGACCCCACCCGTAGTCAGCGTAGTTTGCATCTGTACAACTGCTGCTGAGGAGTGGATCCCCAACAACATCAAGGCGTCCGTCTGCGATATCCCTCCAAAAGGAGACCTGGCAGCCATTGAGCGTTGAGTTACCGGGATGACGAACAGGTTCCGGCGACGATCGATCTAGTTGTCGTCAGAAGCCGCATTTCAATTCGCAGCAACGATCCTTCCAAAGTCAGGTCGACTGCATAGTCATGTGAGAGTCGACCGAAGTGCGGACTTGCTGCCTTTCATCGATTCCATTGGCAGCTGCAGGTCTCAAGATGGCCGTCGCTTTCGCAGGAAACTCGACCGCCATCCAGGAGATGTTCAAGAGGCACCTTCTGCCATGTGCGCCTCATGGAATTAAGCAATCCGGTGCAACAGGGGGAGGAAGGCTTAGGAAGCCTAGCTTTCGTTTGATTTCGTTGACAGGTCGAACCTAACATGGCGTCGTGTGTCCACCCCACATGGGCCTCGCATGGCCTCGCTGATGCCTGCTCTTTGTGTGAGGGTGGCCGAGTACTTCACGGCCATGTTCCGGCGCAAGGCCTTCTTGCACTGGTACACTGGCGAAGGCTCACTCGGATGAGGGTCGGAGAGACATGCACGGCGCCGGCAAATGTTACAGAATCCAACACCCCGAACCACGAAAAGTAATGCGAGTGGAGGTCGTGCAAGCACAAGATGTTGGGAATTTGGAAGCTTGTTTCGACGACATGCAGATGTGACCCAGCAAGGAACATCAGCACTTCCCTCAAGCGAGGGCTCATGAGCACGTACTGTTTTTTTTTAGAGCCACAGAGAGATCAAGCTTGCCGATTAGAGACGGATCTTTGAGGATGGCTACAATCAAAGAGCATTTCAATCACCTTGGTTGTTCCATATACTTTATCATTATCGATATTATTCTTGTTACGATTATCATTATTACTATAATAATAATAATAATAATTATTATTATTATTATTATTCCACCTCTGAAGCCCTCTGCGTCGTGATCCTGCGGCGCCCTATACTTGTTGATCCCGCAGCGCCGCATCCCTTCGGCAGGCATGGACGAGATGGAGTTCACTGAGGCGGAGTCGAACATGAACGACCTGGTGTCGGAGTATCAGCAGTACCAGGCGCAGCCGTAATATAGGGGCCTTAATAATTAAAACAGGGTTTTGGGATATACTATACTAGAACTCCCAAAATAGTATAGGTAGCTATAACTCCCAAAATAGTGTAGGTAACTATAACTCCCAAAATAGTATAGGTAACTATCAAGGCCCCTAAACCCTAAACCCTAAACCCTAAACCCTAAACCCCTAAACCCTAAACCCTAAAGTAAATGACCAAATCGCCTTCGACTGCTTGACCTCTCGGGTCCTTGGCCCGGCCCCATCTGCCGATCAGGATGCCACCGCCGAGGAAGAAGGCGAGCCCTTTTCAGAAGTATTAGTAGTAATACTAGTGTTAGTATTATTATTAGTATTAGTATTAGTATTTGTATTAGTATTAATATTAGTTGTATTTTAGTATTAGTATTAGTAGGAATATTAGTATTAGTATTAGTATTAGTAGAAATATTAGTATTAGTATTAGTAGTAATATTTGTATTAGTATTAATATTAATATTCCTGCTAGTATGCTTGCGTCGGACGTCAGGGGGTAGGGGAGCAGGGCGGGAAACTTATCGGTTTGGGAGTTTGTCAGGATTGCCCATGTTTTCCCGCCGTTGTCGTGGCTGCAAAGTTGCCCTAGACCTCGCAGGCGAGTTTGACGAGGAGGAGGGCGAGTATGACGGATAAGCGCCAACATGCTCGTTTCGCCAGACTGTTCAGACTCATGGTGACCCTGACTGCGCCCGGCATCGCAAGAGGAAGCAGCCGAGGGAATTCATTCCCGGCACGCTTTCAGGAAAATCCTGAAGGCAAGCCGAGCATGAAGTCGCAGTAACATTCGCAGTTCGGGGGCAAGAGTGGAAAAGGAAGGACTAGTAGCGCTGGGTTAATCTTCAATCTTTCCTCGAACGAGCAGCAGATCACGATGATGATGTGCAACAAGGTAGTAGCAGTACCATCAACCAATGTACAAGTGTGGCATACCAGATGACAGTTCTTGAAAGCTTAGGAAGCTAAAGGAGCTTTCCCAGGCCCGGTGGCCTTGCGGGCCTAGGGTTGATGCCTTAGTCGCGGCACGACAGAGACGCTGCCACCTGGTACACTTGTTGTATTTGTCGTATTTATCTGCAGTGCTATGTAGTAGTTCCAGCGGAAGTTTACTTTGAACCGCATCAGTGGTTGTCATTATCATGACTGATTATTGTTATGTTTATTCTTCTTTATTGTTATCATTATTTCCACTGTTATTATTATTATTATTACTACTATTTTATGTCATTTTCACTACAGTTATTATGACTAATTACCATTATCATTATTGTCATCTTTATATATGAGAGTGATTCTTACTTATCACTGTTATTGATATTGTTGTCTTTAGTCACCGGTATTCTTATTCTTATTATTATTCGTATTCTTATTCATATTGTTATTATTATTTGTGCTGTTCTCAATCTTCGCATTAGTTATGCTTATCATTGATGTTCTTCTTCTTTTGCTACTAGTATTAGTATTGTCCTTCTTCATCTTATTATTGTTTCAAACTATCACCGGTATCATGTGCATGTCTGGCCGCAGCGCTTCCGAGAGTCTCAAGCGACCTCCTTGCTGTGCTCATCGCCTTCCACTTCGCGCAGCCATGCGTGAGCTCGTGCACGTCCAGGGTGGCCAGTGCACCTCGGCACGAATCAACGTCAAGACCCTTTGGACTTTAGAACGTCGCTTCAAGGGCCTAGTCCAATCACAGCTCTTTGCATAGCTGTTCGTACTCCATTAGAACCGTGCTCGAAGTTTGGGGTTTGCAGTTTGGGATCCGCCCAGCTTTGGTCCTGTTGGCCCCGGAGTGGCGGGCTCAAAATTAGAATTAGGAGTCGTCTTTGCTGAAATCCTATCTGTTTAACAGGGCTTCGCAGGCAGGTTCGTTCTTGGGTGGCACCAATGTGCAGGCGGCAACCAGATCGGTGCCAAGTTCTGGGAGGCACACGCTCATGCTGGGCAGCGTTTTGCCGCATTTACCTAAGGCCTAAAGGGAGGAAGAATCCCTTGTTGAAGGTGTGAGGAGTCATGTTCTCTCAGGAGAAAAGCCGCTTATCCACATTGACATGTTTTCTGGGGTTTGTCGAGAATTGTTCGGTTGGGGACTGAAGGGTGAGGAGTTGCATACATGTTCTAGTTCTCTCGTTGGGATGTCTGAGCAGGTGATCGCCGATGAGCACGGAATCGATCCCACAGGAGCAACCAGCATGCCTGCACAAGTCCCCTGACAAACTGCTTTGCGAACTCGAAGCGTATCAGAACTGAAGCATGAAGACTTGGAACATCGGTGAGGTCAGCTGTCTGAGTGGACACGTGCTGTGTGGGTTCCAAATCCAAGTGCTCAGCTGGTAAGATCTGGGGTCAAGCTGCGGCAAGGAAGTATCAAAAAACATCCGCGAGTCGGAGCCTTTATAGAGGCTTGGAGGACTGCAATCATGAGTTTGCAGGAACCTACCATGGCGATTCCGATCTGCAGCTGGAACGCATCAATGTGCCTGCGCTCGCATGGATGTGTGGGTGTGTGTGTGCGTAATGCTTCAGTACACTCTTTTTGTATCCTGGGTGACTGTGACTGACAGTCGTGCGGGACATGGGGGATCCGACCGGACAGCCCAGGTGTACTTCAACGAGGCGACAGGGGGACGCTACGTTCCGCGTGCGGTCCTGATGGATCTTGAGCCAGGCCAATGCATGCATGAAATGCGGTTTCGCAGTTGAGGGTTCAACGATGCCGGTCTTCAGGCTGCATTGCTCATTCTTTGTGCAAGAACTGTGTCAGCAGTGCACATGAAAGCATGCATGAGCCGCCGCACACGTGCGAGGAACCATGGACTCCGTCCGAGCCGGGCCTTTTGGTCAGCTCTTCCGTCCCGACAACTTCGTCTTTGGACAGACAGGACAGAACAAAACACCCCTCCAACAAGCCCACCCAAGCAGAATGATCTGGCTGCATGCGTCTCGTGAGGAGCTGGCAACAACTGGGCCAAGGGTTGGGCGCCCGGTCATGGTTGTGGCTGGCCGTGGCTGGTGCTGATAGCTTTGTCACCTTGTCGCTGCATACGCACGCTTTCTGGTTGAGGTCACTACACTGAGGCCGTGAGCTGAGTCTTCCGTCCTTTCGGCGAAAGCACCAGCACCCGATGATGTTCAAATATCCAAAAGCGATTGGACCGAGGGTGCCGAACTCATTGACTCGGTTCTCGATGTCGTGCGCAAGGAGGCTGAAGGCAATGCCAGGGGAGAAGACCTGACATCTCCATTGATTTCTGAGCACTTGCTGTTGACAGTCGATCTGTGTGGTACAAGCAGCTGATTCGTCAATCAATAGAGATCGACAGGCTTCTGGCCTGAGCAGCCTTAGTGTCACGGAGCTCATGTTCATGTGGGGTGATCGTTCAATGATGGCCTCCAACCCCAAATTTCCAATGCACATGAACATTGGGCGTTCCACGCAGGCTGCGACTGCCTCCAGGGCTTCCAGCTCTGCCACTCGCTCGGTGGCGGGACCGGTGCCGGCATGGGAACTCTGCTCATCTCCAAGGTGGGAGCTGTGGGAGCTGTGCAATAGGCATCGACAGAGAGTGGTAGGCCAGCCGTCTTCGGAATTGTCCCCAGAGACTCGTGTTTGACCGCCCCTTTCAGGTGCGAGAGGAGCACCCTGGATTGCACAGCTTATCACAGCTGACGGTCAGAAGGTCGTTTGTGATACCGGTGAAGTCAACTATGCAAGGACATGGTGGCTGAGCTGTTAGGTCGAACACTTCCAACTTCCAGCGTGTTGAAATTTGCAAAGGTTGTGTTCAATGCAGTGGCACCAGAGATTTGAAACCACTTTGAAATCCAAGGTACCCGGACCGCATCATGGAGACCTTCTCGGTGATCCCGTCGCCCAAGGTCTCCGACACCGTGGTGGAGCCGTACAATGCAGTCCTCAGCTTTCACCAGCTGGTGGAGAACTCCG